TTTCGTCATCATCACCGTCGTCTTTGCCATCATCATCATCATCATCACCACCAGTGATTTCCTGAATGCCAACCAAGCACCAGTCATCAAGCTTGAGCCACGGTGCAAAGATGGAGGCAGGCTCTCCATTCTAAGGGAACTTCCAGGCCAGTAGGGAAGGCAAGATTCAGACACCAGGGACAGGCAGCCCGGGATGACAGGTGGAACAAGGAGGAGACACAAGAACCCCCACCCCAACCCAGGAACCCACATCACAGGCCAGACCTGCATGACTGCCAGGCACCCGACTCGGGTTATGAAGGTGTCTCTCCTAAGAGAGTGGCAGAGGCAAACTTTAGCCTTGGCAGTGCCCCCCAGGCTGCTCAGGGGAGGGGTCACAGCCAAAGCCCTGGAGTGCATGGGTTCTTCAGCCGTGGCTCTCCTGCAGCTTCCTCTGATATTATGAAGAGCCTGCCACCACCGGGCTTGTTCTGACTCCTTTACATGATCCACCCTTCTGAGTGGGGTTTGGCTTCTGTACAGCTCTCCTGTGGGCCCTGAGCACACTAGTCAGAACAAGAGGGCTCCAGTCTCCTGACAGTCACAGTGCTTGGTGGCAAAACATGAATTGTCATTCATCCATGCCTTGTTTCTATCATTCACTCATTCATTCAGCAGATACTTAACTGAACACCTGCTCTGGGCCAGGTATTATTCACACCACTGGGAATACAGTGATGCCAACACAGGTCCCTCCATGGGGCTTCATGGGGCTAACATTCCAGTGGGAGTAACAGAAAAGATCCACAAAATAACATCACATTGTGAAAAGTGCTATGAAAGTGAAGGATGTAAGCACAGTAATATTGGTAATAGAGTAGAGAGTGAGGAGGTGGTTAGCAAAGGCCTCATAGAGGGGGTAACATTTTTTCTTTCATTTGATTAACTTGATGTATAACTTATATATGGTAAAGTGCACAAATTTTTTTTTTTTTTTTTTTGAGACAGAGTCTCGCTCTGTCACCCAGGCTGGAGTGCAATGGTGCGATCTTGGTTCACTGCAACCTCCACCTCCCGGGTTCAAATGACTCTTCTGCCTCAGCCTCCCGAGTAGCTGAGACAACAGGCATGCGCCACCACACCCGGCTAATTTTTGTATTTTCAGTAGAGACGGGGTTTCACTATGTTGGTCAGGCTAGTCTCAAACTCCTGACCTTGTCATCTGCCCTCCTCAGCCTTCCAAAGTGTTGGGATTACAGGCATGAGCCACTGTGCCCAGCCGTGCACAAATCTTTAATGTACAACTTGGTGAGTTTTTCAATTTGTGTATGTCAGAGTTTCTCAACCTCTGTACTGCAGATATTGGGGCCATTTGTCCTGGGGACTGTCTTTTTTTTTTTTTTTTTTTGAGTCAGAATCTCGTTCTGTCATCCAGGCTGGAGTGCAGTGACATGATCTTGGCTCACTGCAACCTCTGCCTCCTAGGTTCAAGCGGTTCTCCTGCCTCAGCCTCCTGAGTATCTGCGATTACAGGAACCTGCCACCACACCTGGCTCATTTTTGTATTTTTAGTAAAGACAGGGTTTCACTATGTTGGTCAGGCTGGTCTTGAACTCCTGACCTTGTGATCCGCCCACCTCGGCCTCCCAAAGTACTGGGATTACAGGCGTGAGCTATCGCGCCCAGCCCTGTCTTGTATATTATAGGATGTTTAGCAGCATCCCTGGCCTCTACCCACCAAATGTCAGTAACACTCCTCCCCATTCAGTTGTGACCATCAAAAATGTTCCCAGACATTGCCATATATCTTCTGGGAGGCAAAATCGCCCCTGTTGAAAGCCACTGGCATAGGCCATGTAGCCAGCACTCAGCTCAAGATACAGTTATTTCCACATGGAGGGGTTGGCGTTTGTGCTGACACCCAAGAGCTAAGAAGCTGCCTCCAATTCAGAGAACTGGGGAAGGAGTGTTCTAAGGGGAGGGAGCATGGGCAAAGGCCCTGAGGTGGGAATGACGGTGGCACATTTGAGGAAATGTGACTGGTCCGTGGTGACAAGGGAAAGGCATCTGAGGAGGTTGAAGAGACAGGCTGGGCCCTATCAAGCAGGGGCTTTGTGGGATATGGTTAGGAGTTTTACATTTTCAAAGAATGTTTGTGAGTATTTAATATGTACCTGGCACCATGCCAGACACTGGAAAGTAATAAATTAAATCCTTGGCCCTACTCTTTTTTGCTTTTATTACTATTTTTAATCGGCACATAATAGTTGTACATATTTATGGAGCACAGTGTGATAGTTTGATACATGTATATAATGCATAATGATCAAATCAAGGTAATTAGCATATCCATCACCCCAAACATTGATCATTTCTTTGTGCTGGGAACATTCAAAGTCTGCTCTTCTAGCTATTTGAAAATATACAGGCCAGTGCCCGTGGCTCATGCCTGGTGTTCCAACTACCCAGGAGGCTGAAGCAGTAGGATTGTTTGAGCCCAGGAGTTTGAGGCTGCAGTGAGCTATGATCGTGCCACTGCACTCCAGCCTGAGTGACAGAGTGAGACCCTGTCTCTATTTTTTTAAAAAAAGTATGAATATGACCCAGAGTTGGCACAAAAGGGGACATGCTTAAGCCCATGAAGGAGCTAGGAGGGTTCAAGAAGAGATTTCTTGGAGAGACCACACCCAATCCGAGTCTTTGGGGAACAAAGGATAAATGACATTCCACACAGAAGGCACAGCATGTGCAAAGGCATGGGGGTGTGAAACAATATGGTAGGTCCAGGCAACTACAAGTAGTTAGGTATTCTAGGGTATAAAGTGCAGGAAAGGGGTAATAATAAGGCATTAGCCTGGATGGGATAGAAGATTCTTATGGCAGAGGAGGTGAAACTAAAGCCAACTTGCAGCAGACATTGGAAGTCTTCCAGAACAGTCTAACGGTGGGGTTATGGCTCCCTGGGCCTGCATGAGTCCCCTAAAACACACACCCTCACTCCTTATCCCAGTCCCGCCTTGACTCCATATACTTCATCAAACGTATCTTGGATTTATTGTCTATAATCTTGTTAATTGTGTGGCTTGAGATTTAGAATTTGGTCATCTCTACGTTCTCTGCAAGCTCATGCTTGAGCATGCATTTCCTGTTTCAGATTACAGGACTGCATTTTAATTTCTCGACAGAATGCCTGGCACAGCCTTACTTGGCCAGCCTTACCTGCAGAAAGGTGTGTGCACAATGACTTTTTTTTTTTTTTTTTTTTTTTTGAGACGGAGTCTTGCTCTGTCGCCCAGGCTGGAGTGCAGTGGCCGGATCTCAGCTCACTGCAAGCTCCACCTCCCGGGTTTAAGCCATTCTCCTGCCTCAGCCTCCTGAGTAGCTGGGACTACAGGCGCCCGCCACCTCGCCCGGCTAGTTTTTTGTCTTTTTTAGTAGAGATGGGGTTTCACCGTGTTAGCCAGGATGGTCTCGATCTCCTGACCTCGTGATCCACCCGTCTCGGCCTCCCAAAGTGCTGGGATTACAGGCTTGAGCCACCGCGCCCGGCCGCACAATGACTTTTGATGATGCCCCATGATCCTTCACTTTGCATGTACAGACACAGACTTGGAGACGCAAACTCCTGCATCTTACAAGGGCCATCTGCAAATTGGCTTATCAGTTTTCTCTCTCCTCTGCCTCCTCTGCAGTACCAGCCCTTTATATGCCAGGCACTGAGAAGCAGCCTAATTACAGGCAAGGAGACAGGGAGGGAGCAGGCCATAGGTTCTGTCCCTCAAGATGTAGCCACATAGGAGAAACTCCATGTCTGTCTGGGTTTTCTGGATTAAACCTAGATTCAGGTGTTGGAATTACAATTCACTTTGAAGATAATTTAACATATTCCTCACCAATCTCCCTCCAAGCACCTCCCAGCAGCATCAGAGGTAAGCTTGACTTGTTTTGTTTGTTTGTTTGTTTGTTTTTGAGACGGGTCTCGCCCCGTCACCTAGGCTGGAGTGCAGTGGCACTATCTTGGCTTACTGCAACCTCCGCCTCCCAGGTTCAAGCGATTCTCCTGCCTCAGACTCCCAAGTAGCTGGGACTACAGGCGCCCGCCACCATGCCAGGCCAATTTTTTGTATTTTTAGTAGAGACAGGGTTTCACCGTGTTAGCCAGGATGGTCTCAATCTCCTGACCTAGCGAAACGCCCGCCTCAGCCTCCCAAAGTGCTGGCATTAAAGGCGTGAGCCACCACTCCCGGCCGACCTTGACTCTTTTTTTTTTTTTTTTTTTTTTGAGCCAGAGTCTTGCTCTTGTTGCCCAGGCTAGAGTGCCATGTCACGATCTCGACTCACTGCAACTTCTGCCTCCTGGGTTCAAGTGATTCTCCTGCCTCAGCCTCCCCAGTAGCTAGGATTACAGGCAGGCGCCACCATACCCAGGTAATTTTGTATTTTTAGTAAAGACGGGGTTTCTCCATGTTGGTCAAGCTGGTCTCGAACTCCTGACCTCAGGTGATCCGCCCCTCCGCCCTTGGCCTCCCAAAGTGCTGGGATTACAGGCATGAGCCACTGAGCCTGGCTGAGCTTGACTCTTTAGAGCATTTCCTTCCCTTCCTGTCCTGGGACAGAGCTAGGGCTGGAGCCAAAACGAGCCCAGCCCTGGCTCCTGTGCCTAAATTTGTAGATTTCACCACCACCACGCATGCCTTCACACCTACTTGCATTCCAGGGACCTTAACAACTTCTAGAATCCATCAGGAGGGCAGCAGTGAGGGAGCTGGGAACGGTGATGTGGAAATCGCCCTGGGTTTGGGAGTGGGAATGCCCCAGCCCTAGGCCCCACTGTGCCACCCATGGCTACATATTCTAGGTCATGTTGCTCCCCCAGAGCTTGTGTGGCCTCTTCCTATCCTTCAGGGCAGGACTTAAATGTCATCTGCTGGGGAGGCTCTCCCCATCTAAGCTGGCCCTCTCTGTGCTCCATATCATTGCTCCCTCCTTGACTTCCTTTCACAATTTATCACGCGCATATGTATGTGTGTGCATAAACAGATATAATTTTGTTTGCTTGCTTATTTGGTTCGTCTCCTCACTGGATTCCGGACTGTGGGCTCCAGGAATGCAGACGCTGTGCCTTTGACCCTTGCATCCGCCTCAGAGCCTGGCAGAGTGCCAAGTACATAGGAGAAGCTAGAAAAGTAATTCGGCGAATGAATAAAACCATGAATGGCAGCTGCCCCAGATGATCTCTCAGGTTTCTGCCAGCTGAGAAACTGTAGCAGTGCCCTGGACGGGGAGGCGGGCGGGGCGAACTACGAGCTCCGACCCCCTCCCAGGGTTCAGGCGACTGGGGACCCCGATCAGCGCAGGCTCGCGGCCCGCTGTGGCCCCGCCTCCTGGCCGCCAGCCGGGGGCGGAGCCAGGCCGCCCCCCAAGCCGGTGGCCTTGGGGGTACTCGCCCCGCTGGAGGTGGTGAGGGGGCGGGTCCAAAGCAGAGGTCAATGGGCGGGGCGGGGCCACAACGCCCCCACGCCCCCAGCCTGCCTGCAGGTTCCCCGCGGGGGGCCGGGGCCGGGCCGTTGGCTAGCAACGCCCAGCTCCGCCCGGCTGGCGCGCGCCTGCCCCCAGCATGGCTTGGCAGGGCTGGTCCGCGCCGTGGCAGTGGGTCGCCGGCTGCTGGCTCCTCCTCGTCCTTGTCCTCGTCCTACTTGTGAGCCCCCGCGGCTGCCGAGTGCGGCGGGGCCTCCGCGGCCTGCTCATGGCGCACAGCCAGCGGCTGCTCTTCCGAATCGGGTTAGTGCCCGGGGTCCGAAGCGTGCCAGCTCGGGAGGCGGGCGCGCTGGGAGAGGGGACTGGGAGGCGCGGGCCGGAGCTGGGGGTGGGCGTGGCGGTTAGGACGGGGCTTGGTCTGAGGGAAGAGGGATCGAGGAGACGGATTGGAGAAGCCACTGAGTTGGGGGGTCTGAGGGAGTTGGGGGGCTGGAGAATTGGGATAAGCTGGGGAAGGAGGATCGGAGAGGCGGGCCAGGGTGGCCACGTAAGGAGGCGTGAGAGAACATCTGGAGAAAAGTGCCACAGAAGGGGCTGGAGACCAGGAAGCTGGACAGGAGGATAGTGCAGTAGCCAGGGCTGGGAAGACCGTCCCTGTCCAGGGGTAAGGTCAGCAGATGCCCGGGCTCCGATGGCAAGTGCCGGAGAGAAGGAATGCCTCCCACCGTCTGACATTTAAAACCGCCAACTCCTTCCGTATGTCCTTGTCCCACTCCCCAGCACCCAACTTCTCACCAGTCAAGTTAGGTTCTTCTGTCCCAAGCAAGGGTCTCAACCCTGTTGGATTCCAGCATGTCCCTTTCCTTCTAACCACAGCCTGGCCCTAGTGGAAGCCCCAGGCTGTGAAATCTGACCCAACTGACTCTGCCCACTTTTCCAGTGATTTGTCTCCATGGACCCTCCCCCGCTCACTCTGCCCTCCTGCCTCCCTCTACCCCTTCCTTCCTGGCCCCAGGGGAGGGTGGTGATAGCAAGCACTGTTCAGACCCAGGGACGCTGAGAGACAGGGAAGAAGACAGGCCTCCGAGGGCCCCTGTCCCCTTCCTACTACCAGCCTGGCCATGGGTCAGGACCTCAAGCCCCAGTTTAGGGACAGTAATGTTGGGGATGGGAATTGTGAGAGCACTGGCCACAGGCCAGGTTGTGGGGAGAGCCCAAGCCTGGGAATTTCCTGAGCTTCCGAGCAGACATTGTGCAACTCACCCTCTCCTCCCCAGACCACCCACACGCCCAGAAGCTTTAGGCCCAGGATTCCACTCACAGTCTAAGAAGCGGAGATATAAAGGCTTCAGTGGACGGGAAAACTAGAAAAACGTGGTGCTGGAGGGTGGGGTGGGGATCTTGTGTTTGTGTCTTTTGGAGCATTCACATCTCTAATATCCTAAACCTTGGTCACCGTTTAGATAATGCGCCAAGTAAGTTACCATTGCTCTGCATATTGCATTAAAATAATGAGACTGAAAAATATCTAGGCCAGGCGTGGTGGCTCATGCCTGTAATCCCAACACTTTGGGAGGCTGAGGCGGGTGGCTGGCTCACCTGAGGTCAGGAGTTCGAGACCAGCCTGGCCAACATGGTGAAACCCCATCTCTACTAAAAATACAAACATTACCTGGGCATGGTGGTGAGCACCTGTAATCCCAGCTACTCAGGAGGCTGAGGCAGAAGAATCGCTTAAAGCTGGGAGGCAGAGGTTGCAGTGAGCCGAGATCGCGCCATTTCACTCAGGCCTGGGCAACAGAGCGAGACTCCGTCTCAAAAAAAGAAAAAGAAAAAGAAAATCCCCAAATATGAAGGTATCTAAATAATCTTCTTTTTTTTCTTTTTTTGAGACGGAGTTTCACTCTGTTGCCCAGGCTGGAATGCAATGGCGTGATCTTTGCATGGTGAAACGGGGTTTCACCATGTTTGTCAGGCTGGTTGCGAACTCCTGACCTCATGATCTGCCCGCCTCGGCCTCCCAAAGTGCTGGGATTATAGGCATGAGCCACCACACCTGGCCTTTTTTTTTTTTTTTTTTTTTTTTTTTTTTTTTTTGAGACGGACTCTTGCTCTGTACCCTAGGCTGGAGTGGTGTAGTGGCACAATCTCAGCTCACCGCAACCTCCACCTCCCAGGTTCAAGCAATTCTCCTGCCTCAGCCTACTGAGTAGCTGGGACTACAGGCACTCACCACCACACCTGGCTAATTTTTGTATTTTCGGTAGAGATGCAGTTTCACCATGTTGGTCAGGCTGGTCTTGAACTCCCGACCTCATGATCTGCCCACCTCGGCCTCCCAAAGTGCTGGGATTACAGGCAGGAGCCACTATACCCAGCCTATATTTGGGATTTTTAATGGAAACATTTTCTCCCCATAAAATTTCTGGGAATTTTACAGTCTTATCTGGGGAAAGATATTTAAATCTACTTCTAGCTTTCAAAATTAGTAAGTTTGAGGTCATACAAATGGCCTGAGGAAGTGGAAAATAGAAGTTTCCATAAGGAACTGGAATCAGAATTCCTGAGATCAGAATGCCAGAATCACTATCTCAGAATCTTGAGGGTATGGGTATGCCTGGAAATTGGGACTTGGGATTTTACAGATCTCCAAAACTAGAATCATTGGAGAGCTTCTTCAAAATGCGGTATTTCTTTTTTTTTTTTTTTTTTTTTTTTTTTTTTCTTTTTGAGACGGAGTCTCGCTCTGTCGCCCAGGCTGGAGTGCAGTGGCGCGATCTTGGCTCACTGCAAGCTCCACCTCCCGGGTTCGCGCCATTCTCCTGCCTCAGCCTCCCGAGTAGCTGGGACTACAGGCGCCCACAACCGCGCCCAGCTAATTTTTTGTATTTTTAGTAGAGACGGGGTTTCACCGTGGTCTCGATCTCCTGACCTTGTGATCCGCCCGCCTCGGCCTCCCAAAGTGCTGGGATTACAGGCGTGAGCCACCGCGCCCGGCCCAAAATGCGGTATTTCTACAGGCTTTTCTGTGTCTGGATTTCAAGGTTGCTTTGGAATCCACTCTTCACATTTGCAGATTTCCAGACCTTGCTCCTCATAGTGTGGGAAACAGTCAGTCCGGTCCCCAGGGGGAGAAGCTGCTGGCTGCTGGGAGGGAAAGGGGATATTTGCAGGAAACTCTAGGGTGGAAATGGGCAGGTGTTGGTGCTAGGGGTGTCTCCAGGAAGGATGGGGAGGGAGGGGGAACAGGATGGGAGAGGACATGGTGGAGAGGGGGAGGGCACATGCGCTACCAACCTGAAGGTGTGGCTGGGAGGATCACAAATAGAGGATTCTACTGGGGGTGGAAAGGAAATGATGGAAACACCAGGCTCACCGGGAGGAGAGCTGTTGGCCATATTATCATTAATAATCAGCATCCCTGGTGTGTGGCCATTTTATAAAAGGCTTTCCTTAACCATAACTACAATTGTCTTAGGATGAGGATAACTGAGCACAGTGGCCACAGGCGAACCTGATGTGAGACACATGCATTTGGGGCTCTGTGGCGCCTGGGAGACAGTGTGGATAGTAGCTAAGCACATAGCATGTGGGGTCGAACAAATCTGCTTTTGCATCCTATCTTTGTTGCTTAGTAGCCATGTGACCTTGGACAAGTAACTTCTCTGTGCCTTAGTTGTTTGCATCTATAAAATGGGGTTGGGGATGCCTACCTCATAGGGCTCCTATGAAGATCAAATGAAACCGCACCTAAAATACACAGGGCCTGGCTCAAAGAGAGTGTTCAGGAAATGTTAGCAAGTGTTCCTGCTGTGACCTGGAGTTGGGTGGGAGAGGATGCATGGCCCTGTGTCCTTCCGGAGCTTCCTTACATAACTCCACCCCTGTCTTCCAAGCCTGTCCTACTCACCACCCAGCAGGAAACTCCACATCCCTTCATTCAGCCAGGGAACACCCAGCTGCCCTGGGTAAGGACTGTGGGGTCCCAGATATGAACAGGTTCTGATCACTGTTCTGCAGGGAAGGAGAAAGCACATGCGAACACATATAAGCAAGGGCCCGGCCAGGCGCAGTGACTCAAGCCTGTAATTCCAGCACTTTGGGAGGCCAAGGTGGGTGGATCACGAGGTCAGGAGGTCTCCCCATCTCTACTAAAAATACAAAAAATTAGCCGGTCCTGGTGGCAGGCACCTGTAGTCCCAGCTACTTGGGAGGCTGAGGCAGGAGAATGGTGTGAACCTGGAAGGCGGAGCTTGCAGTGAGCCGAGATTGCACCACTGCATTCCAGCCTGGGCGACAGAGCAAGACTCCATCTCAAAAAAAAAAAAAAAATGGGGGGCCCAAACCCAGGAGGAGGCAGGGCACGGCAAGCTCCCCAGAAGCAGCACGATACACCTGGGGAGTCGGATCAGGAATGTGGGACTCGCCCGTGTGTGCCCCCTGCTTCATGCCTCAGTTGTCCTTTTGCCTTCTTAGGGGTAGTTGTGGGGATTTTGCAGAACAGAGTCTTGAGGAAAGCCTCTGTCTGCAGAGGGGAGACGGATAGGACACAAGCAGGTCTGCGAGTGTCTTGCAGAGCCAAGGAGGTGGGTAGCAGCTGGCCTGTGGGGAAAGCCAGTCCTAGTGACAGCCTTCCCTCCTAGACCAAGCCCCCCTCCATTCCGAGGCGTAGAAGGTCCTTCCTGACCCTCGCAACCCTCCCTGGGATGGACCTAGCTTGCTCTGCTTCTGCAAGAGGAAAGCCCTTATCTGGGGCCAATGAGTCCCACTGGCTTGATTTCAAGAGTGGCAGGAGCCTGATGGGAGGGACCTTGAGTGAATCCTCCCAGCTGCTGAATGAGGCCAGGTAGATGAGCTGGGCTATCCACATCGCAGCCTGGCAGGAGGGGAGCAGGATCCTTTTCTTTTCTGGGGCCTGTGGGACCTTGGAGAGCTATGGCCAGAGCACCCACAGCAGCCTCATGCCTCCCTGCTGCTCTCTGCTCTCCCCACTGACACAGCTTCCCCCTGCTGCCTGGTTAGTCTTCAAAGTGTGGCTCTGAGCAAGTGTCCACTTCTGCAAGCCACACTGCCAACATAATGGAGCCACGCCCCTCACCCAGGCCTTTGCAGCCCTCCCACACCCCCTACAGACCTGCCCAGTTTCATCTCCCCCAGGCCTGAGCTGTTCCTGCACTTCCGTCTGACCTGTCCTGCCTTCCTTCCTCCCTACGTCTCTACTGTCAAATTCTGTTGCATCTTCAAAACTCACCTTCAAAGGTACCCAGAATCTGAACACTTCTCCCTGCCTCCACTGCCACCACCCTGGGCCAGCCAGGAGAATCGCTTGAATGAACCCAGGAGGCAGAGGTTGCAGTGACCCAAGATTGCGCTATTGCACTCCAGCCTGGGTGATAAGAGTGAAACTCCATCTCAAAAAAAAAAAAAAAGAAACTTATTTAATTCAGGAATGGATTACTTCTCTGCTCAAACTCCTCCAGCCATTTCCCACCTCTCTCATGAGGTCCAAGTCTGTTCGAAGAATGGCTTCAGGGCCCTCTGTGACCTGCCCATCCCTACCACATCTTTTAGCGCCCTTCAGCCTGCTCCTCTGCCTCAGCCACAGCTGGTGGCCTCTCCACGGTGCTTCAGTCCTAGCGGAGAGGTCTGGGCTAATTCTGTCTCTGCCTGTTGTAATCCCAGGCCTCAAATACACCAAGACACCCCGCCCTTCAGGCCTTTCTGTGACTCCACATGGCTTGCTGCCTCACTTCCTTCAGTTCTCTGCTCAAATTTTGCCTTATATGAGAGCCCTGCCCTGACCACCCCACATAAACATAGCACCACCCGCACCCCTGCACCCTGTCCCCTCTCTGGCTTTATGTTCCCCTAGTTCACATCACCATGGGACACACTACATGTTGATTGTTCTTCTCCCCCAACCAGAATGTGGCTACACAGGGGGAGAAGCTTTGTTAAAGACTGTATCCCAGATTCCAGAACAGTGCCTGGCACCTAGGTGGCCCTTACTAAATGCCTCTGAATGGTCCTATTTTAATTCCTAAGTATGATTGGGTTTTCACACGCATAGGTAACATGCGCATCCCTCAAACCTTATGGTGATGTCAGCACGGTATCCGTCTGATGTGAAAGAAAAAAAAGTTTCTGAATGAATGCATGCATGTGTGAATAAATGAATGAAAAGCTTGGCTCAGGTGCCCTTTTCTCCATGAAGCCTTCCCAGCCTCCTCAGTCAAAATGAACCTCTTGTCTCCAGACTGCCCCCGGCACTATCTTCCCTCTTCGAGCTTCCCGTGCGCATTCTTGCTTGTACTGGAGTTAGGTGTTCATGGATCGGACTTCCTGGCTGCTTTCTGTGTTCCTAAGGGGCCTTGGGGCCGGGTGTAGTGGCTCACACCTGTAATCCCAGCACTTTGGCAGGCCAAGGCGAGCGGATTCTTGAGGCCAAGAGTTTGAGACCAGCCTGGCCAACATGGCAAAACCCCATCTCTACTAAAAGATACAAAAATTAACTGGGCATGGTCGTGCACCCCTGTAATCCCAGCTACTCGGGAGGCTGAGGCAGGAGAATCGCTTCAACCCGGGAGGCGGAGCTTGCAGTGAGCAGAGACCACGCCACTGCACTCCAGCCTGGATGACAGAGCGAGACTCTGTGTCAAAACAATCAAACAAAAACTAAGGTGCCTTGGAGCAGACCCCGGCTCCACTAGAACCCTGTGTCCTTGGTGGCCCTCTGGGACCCTCAGGCCTAGCCCAGGGAGCAGGATTGAATCAGGAAAGCCTGGGATTGGGATGAGTGAGGAGAGAAGGAGAAAGTCACAAGAAACAAACCAAAACTAAACAAAGCCCAGAGCCCTTGGCAGGCAGGTGGCCTGGAATTACACCCATGGAGAGAGAACTAGCTAAGGCCTCCCAGCCAGGGCTGAGACACCATGGAGAGGCCACCAGCTCTTACTGTGCTTCTGGTTCTAGCCAAGAGCCCCCTTCGTCAGTGACAGATGGGTGTCCTCTGGAGAGGGCTGTGAAGTCTGGGGAAGAACCCATCCAGGGATGGGTAGGACGATGGCAGACCCTGACCCGGGGATCTCCTGTTTTCACCGCGGAGCAGCCCTGTCCCTCTCCTGGGCGTGAGGAAGTCCCCCCGCCCCCAGGCATGCTGGCAGCTTCGGGAAACCCTCACCCTCAAGGGCCTTTTAGCTGTCTCGTTATCTTCTTCCGTTTCCTCAGTTTTGAGAATGCACAAAACATGGAGCTGCTCTCTATGTTCCTGAGGGGCCTCGGAGCAGACCTTGGGTCCCATAGAACCCTGTGTCCTGGTGGCCCTCCAGGTCCCTCAGCTCTCAGACAGGCACTTTCAGTTCTGTTGCATTAGGAGTGCCCTGTCGGTGGTAAGATGCAGAGCCTGGGCAGTCTGGGTCCTGAGGACACGAAGGGAGAAGGCAGAACAGTCCCCGGCCAGAGGCCCCACCAGCCTGAGCTTGTCCGTTGGGTCCCAGTGGAGTCTGGGGCCCTGTGGGATCGGGGGGCCATTTAGCCGATACAGGAGGAAGGGAGGAGCCAAGGCAGGTGACCCTGGCAATAAGGGCTTTCCAGGTCATTCTGTGGGAGGCAGAGCCCCCTTTATGCTGCTCCCCTGCCCTCCACCCTCCCTCCTACTCCCCCTGGCCTGAGGCCAGCCCTGGGCCCAGCTGGGACAGAGGCTTGAAAACCTCAGGCTTCTCTCAGGGCTGCCCAGGATGGTGAAATGGCCCTATGGAGGAGAGAAGAAGAGCTTCATTGTGTGTTTTCCACTGTGTGTCAGAGGGAGGGGCATCTGGGGGGGCAGTGGCTCACTGTCCCCAGTTGTCACACATGGCCTCCCATGGGGCTGGAGGCTCACATTCAGATACCAGAGACACCAACTGCTGGCTCACTGAGGCAAGGAGTGGAAGGTGCACTTTGACCCTACACTGGAGGTGCTGGCACTGTCTGCAGCTGTAACCCCACAAGGAGGGTCCCTCGGGGCAGCTGCCACTTACCCAGGCTGGCTGCTCCCCACCTTGCAGAATGGCTTTTCTGCCTCCCACCTAAGTCCTAGAGGACCAATTAGGAAACTTTATCTTCTTTTTGGTGAGGTGATGATGGGTAGTTCCTGGCCCCAGAACTGCTGAATCAAAATCTAGGAAGAGGGAGGGAGAGAAGAAGGTCAGAATCTTCTTTTTTAACCAGCACCCCTAGATCATTCTAATATAGATGGGCCAAGGCCCATCAGTATTTTCTTGTGAGTCACATAACAAGCATCAGTATTTTCTTGTGAGTCACATAAACTTACTGGTCCAGGCTGTGGGGGAGCACTCAATTTGACAGAAAGGGAAACTGAGGTTAGGAGAGTGAGTTCCTGCTTCTTGCCTCCAGCAAAAGAAGAAGCCGTATCTCTGGTAATGGCTTAGGAAACCAGGGGCCATAACATGGGGCAGTGACATCCTGGGAAGGTGGAGCAGGGGATTGAAGACAGAAGGGCACAGGTTCTGGCTAGGCATGGTGGCTCATGCCTGTAATCTCAGCACTTTGGGAGGCCGAGGTGGGTGGATCACTTGAGGTCATGAGTTCGAGACCAGCCTGGCCAACATAGTGAAACCCGTCTCTACTAAAAATACAAAAAAATTAGCTGGGTATGGTGGCAGGCACTTGTAATCCCAGTTACTTTGGGAGGCTGAGGCAGGAGAATCACTTGAACCCAGGAGGCAGAGGTTGCAGTGAACTGAGATCGTGCCATTGCACTCCAGCCTGGGCAACAAGAGCAAAGCTCTGTCTCAAGAAGAAGGAAAAAAAAAAAACCCAAAAAATATACATGATTGATTTGCATGCTTTTTTTTTTTTTTTTTTTTTTTTTTTTTGAGGCAGTCTCACTCTTTCACTCAGGCTGGAGTGCAGTGGCACGATCTTGGCTCACTGCAACCTCTGCCTGCCATGTTCAAGCAGTTCTCCTGCCTCAGCCTCTGAAGTAGCTGCAATTACAGGCACGCGCCACCATGCCTGGCTAATTTTTGTGTTTTCAGTAGAGACGGGATTTCACCATATTGGTCAGGCTGGTCTCCAGCTCCTGACCTCAGGTGATCCACTTGCCTCGGCCTCCCAAAGCGCTGGGATTACGGGTGTGAGCCACCGCCCCCAGCCATGCTTTTGTATTTTTAATGAATATTGTCATATTGTTTTCTCTGCAGTATGTCTCAGCATAACGATGCGTGCTTGAGCTTTGTGAATGTTGAAACCTGTTGCTCTAGATCATGTGTTTCCCTTGCTGTGCAGTTTTCCAAGGTCTGAATATGTTGGAATTTTGTACATTTCGCTGGTGGCAGTCATTTAGGGGGTTTCTGTCCTTTCATTCTTGGGAGCACGGGATTATCCTTGGGCAGTACAGGAAGGGAGGGGGCAGCAACTCCTGTGGTCTCAGTTTCCAGAAGGCCTGACTGGAAGTTGGACATTTGTTCATAAGCAGTGAGGAGCCACCGAAGACTTTCGAGCAGGTGCAAGCCTCAGCAAAATGCGGCGCTTTAGGAACTTCTTTTTGCCTGTGGTTTGCAGTTTGGGTCGGAGGTAGAGAGACCCTAGGTGAGTTTCCAGGGCCTGTTCCCACAGGTGAGGCTGCGATGGGGGGCAGTGGATGGCAAAATTGAGAGGGATCCTGTTTTGGTTGCATATGCCAGGGAGAAGGCTAAGTGCAACTGCAAGGACAGGGGCCCTTTCCCAGAAAGAGAAGGAGCAGGACGGGGAGCTGACTGTGGGGATTGTCACTCGCCAACTCTGCAGGCAGATGGAGGAAGCGCCTGAGCTAAGTGGCTTAGAGAGTCCTGTGGAAGCCCTTGGCAGGGCGGGGCACAGGGCTGGGGAGAGCCACTAGGTCCTCAGGCTGTTCTCCCCTTCCCTTCCTCCTTCCCCGCCTCAGCCCTGCCTTCTCCTGCTTTGCCCAAAGATCAAGACCTCAGGCCAGCAAGGACTGCAACCTGTCCCTAGCCCACATCCAAGCCAGGCACAGATCTCCCATCCCTCTGCCACCCTACCCTCTCCACCTCCAGTACCCTCTCTAGTCCAGACCCCTGTCTCTCTCCCACCTGGATGACTCAGCACCTCCTGCCCCTTTTCTCCACCCAGCAGCCCAGTGAGCTCTCAGAAAGGGAGTCTGATCCTGTGCACCCTGTTCTAACGCCCACCAGCCATTTTCCACTCTCTGCACGGCCTGGCTTCTGCCCACCTCACTGACCCCTTCTCCAGCACTGTTGGTCCCTCTAGCCCTGCCTAGAGACTCCGAGGCCTCCTGGCAATTCCTAAAATTCCACACTCCTCCTGCCTTGGTGCCACATCACCCAGAACCGTCCATGCCGCTGGCTCGGTCTTGCAGTTTCCAGCATGAATGTCACCCTCTGGGCACGAGGCCTTCCCTGGGCACCCTGTCTATAGTAGGGCCTCTTCCCTTCCGGCCACTCTTTTCCACCCCCAGCCATAGTTAACTGGCAGTTTGCTGACTAATCCAGTTTCTGGTTTAATGTCTGTTGGCCCTCCCTTTCCCCACGTTACAAGCTCCCCGAAGGCAGGGCCCCTTCTGCCGTGTTTCTGCTGTCTCCACTGTGTCCATCTTGCACAGTATTTGCCAAATACAGTGAGTGACAGGGAGGGGCCTTGTTTACTGCGGCTTCTTGGTGCACAGTCCCTGCCCCAACAGATCTTGTCCTTTGTTAGGGACAGAACCTGGGCACATGTAGTCAGCATTTAGTAAGCGGAGGCAGGGAGCTTATCACCCCTCCCAGATGTGCATGACCCTGCTTTAGCAGCTGGGAGGACTGCCTGGCTGAATTTGGGAAGGAAACAACAATTGCTAAACATCTTCCACCCGCGAGGCTCTCGGCTGAGTGCTTTACATTAGTTTTCTTATTTTAGGCACTTAATCTTCGCACAGTCCTTCAGGGGTAAGTCACAGCATTGCCATGTTATCGATGAGGAGCCTCATCTGTGAAACTCATGACTTGCCCAAAGTCACAGAGTCAACAGGGGCCAGGCTATGATGGGAGCCTGGATCTTTCTGTTGCCAGAGCCTCTGCTCTTTCTATAAGCCCATGTAGCGAGAAATAAAGACAGGAACGGGACTCAGG